GAGCCGTAAATCTCATTAAGTTGGCGAACAATCGAATCGGTTCGAGCAGCGGAGAAGGGCGCAGGGCGCCCCCCATCCCCTGAAGTAGTAAGAGGTGCAGCGCATTCTCAGACAGTCGACTACTCAGTATTGGAAAGTCGTCCCGTTGGCCCGGAATGCAGACGGTAATCAGCGCGGTGTCCAGACCGCACCGGCGCACCGCACCGCCAGCGCCGCGCCCGCGCCAACTGGGCCAACCAGCGCGGAGCCCTTCAGACCCGCCCTCTCCTCCGGCTGACTCTAGGTCGCCTCCGCGGGGCGGCAGCGGGCCGTCATCCGCGCGGGAGGTGCGCTATGGCTCGACCGACGACTTTATTGGGGTTTGGAGAGAAGAGCGGCGTGCTTTGGTGTGGTGGTTGGGTTGGCGGGTGTCGGGCGCCTGTCGATAGGCAGCCTGATCGCCGCTGGGCAGCCGTGCGACTTGTATTGCCTATCTTGGCGTTGGCAGGCGCTCGGCCGCGCGGCCCGGCAGGGGCAGTGGGCGAGGCGATGGCGCAGCGTAAATGGCGTTGACGACCCGCTCAACTTCACTTCTTCAACTTCAAAAAAATGCTTGTTTAGAGCGAACTAGAGCCACCCGTTCGTAACTCGGGTTCCGCAGTCAGGCCTCGGTCGGCCCATCGTAGAGGGCAGTGCTCTTGCTGGTGAGTCCGAAAGTCCGCCACAGCCCGTCACACCCGCACCGACATCTCTGGTTTGCACTCTTATCTGTTTTAGCTCAGGCTAGGGTGGTGCGCGGTGCGAACGGTCCAGGCGGCGTTGAGTAGCAGTCTGTGGTGCCTAGGGAGAGTAAAGGTGTGAGTGTTGTGTGTGTAAAAAGGCAGCGGGGCAAGGGGTGGGTTGGGGGGGGGGGCCACCCCACCCCGCTTTTCTGCAGCCACCCAGGAAATTGCGCGCGCGCAAAGATTCGAATTTTCTTTTATGCTCTCGCCTCTCTTCACAAATGGGTCGTGCAACAGTGTCATACCGTACACCCCGTGTTTGAATTGTATCCCGAGTCGGCGCTGCCTCGCTGCTGCCGCCTCTGCTTCCCTAGCAACAGGCGCGTGGCGTGGCGTAGTGGCGTCGTCCCCCTGCCCACAGAGGCCCAGCAGGAGCTGGCTGGCTCCCGCGGGCCCGGTACACCCCTCCTCGCCCCACTTCTCTCGCACTACTGACTCAACTCGTGTATACGACGCCATACGACGTCTGTATATTGCGCCGGCTCCACTTTACAGTCCATCCGTGGAATTCATAAAAAACGGTGAGCGCGGGCGCCGCCCGGTAAAGGCGAAATGAAATTTATGCCGAGTCGCTCGCCACGGCAGGCCGGCGTTGTCGCAGCAGCAGGAAGAGGTGGTGGAGAGAGGCGGGCAGCATACGTCTGCCCACTTTGGCGCTCGTGCCTTGTGCCGTGCGCGCCCCTGGCCTGGGCAGGAAGCGCACAAGCCAAAGCAGGCCGGCTAACTTATGAAAAGCTGTGGCCCGCGGCTCCCAGTGGAGCGGTGCAGCCAACAACGGCGACATGACCGCCGGCCTTGCCGCCGGCACCGCACCAGAGGCAGCTGCCGTAGCGGGCCGGCCCGCGCTGCCGCCGTCTCTTTTGTACTGGAGCCGTTGTAATACCCGGCGGGCAGGACGGGGAGGAACGCGGAGGAGGGGCGGGCAGCGGCCCGGATACTCGCGCATTCCTATTTCCATGGGATACGCGATTGCGATGGCTCTGTTGAATTCCATCCGCATTTGCCGAAACTAAAGTTGGGGGCGCCTGGGGGCCGCGGTTGTTGCGGGCGCGGTGGTCGGGTGCTTGGCGGTGTGGGGTGCGGGGCGCGGGGGGCCTTCGCTGCGATTGCCACTTTGTTTTGGGCGCCACCCTTTCGGCCCTGGGCAATGTATGGATCTGTTTCGCGCCCCCCGGGGTGCGTCGCGCGGCTCGGCTCACGGGCTTGGCGGTGCGCGTTCAGAGAGCCTCGTGTTGGTGTGTAGTGTTGTGCTCGCCGCGCTGCTCCCCCGTGTCACGCGGCACCCGGGAGGCAGCAGGGCGGTACCAGAAAGGTACCCGGGAGTCGCCCCCCGGAGTGACGTCAGACCCGGGTGGGGGCTTTAGAGCGGCGATTACTCATTCCCGCCATGCCGTCTTTGGCAGACCGCCGGCCGAGGGCGGGG